TGAAGGTATTTGACAACATAACTGAAAACATCATGCTAAAAAGCATGAGAGCAAGCACACAGCCTTGTTTCATTCCACTGGTGACTGGCAAATCGTAAGAACATTGTCCATTATCCAGAACCCAGGCAAGCATGCCGTCATGAAATTGACGTGCAATTCTGATGAACTTCTCTGGGCAACCAAATTTTGACATAATTTGCCATAAACCCTCATGACTGACAGTATCAAAGGCCTTGATCAGATCTACAAATGTGCAGAGACCTCTGTTATACTCGGTATTTCTTATGGAGTTGTTGGGCAACAAACGGCATGTTGATGGCTCCTTGGCCCTTTCTGAAGCCATGTTGGCTCTCAAGTAGATGACTGTCTTCCAGGTGAAGGATCAGCCTATTAAGGAAGATTCTAGCAAGAATCTTGCTAGCAATGACTAAGAGAGAGATTCCCCTGTGATTGTCACAGTACAATCTATTTAGTCAGCTTTTGTATGAGCAATGGACTCCCTACCTTGTAAATCTCAGCTGGAACAGAATCAGCACCAGGTGCTTTGCCACAGAAGAGGAGCCTAATGGCATTCAACCCCTCTTCTTCAGTTGGAACTTCAGCTAGGGAGGGATTGATTTCAACCTGAGGCAAATGGTCGATGGCTTCAGCATTGATTGATGATTATCTGTTGAGAACACTAAGGAAGAGTTTAGCCCATCTCTCTAGGATCATGTCCTTTCACTAATCAATGTGGCTCCACCAGCACTGAGTAGTTGAGATGTACCATATGTCTTTGGCCAATAGATAGCCTTCAAGGCATCATAAACGCGCTTTGGATTGTTGCTATCAGCATAAAACTGAATTTCATCTGCCTTCTTACTGTGCCAAGATTCCTGCATCTCTTTAGGCTTCACTCATACTTTACTTTTGATGGAGTTAAATACTGCCTTCTTAAGTGACTTGCCCAGGGTCACACAGCCAGTAAGTGTCAAATGTTTGGTCTGAGCCCGGCTTTGAACTCAGGTCCTCCTGACTTCAGGGCTGGTGCTCTATCCACTGCGCCACCTAGCTGTCCTGCTTATGCTTTACTTTTCATGGAGTTAAATGCTACCTTCTTATAGATGAATGAACTAACCTGCTGGTAAACCCTGTGGAGTTCTTCTTTTTCATTTAGCAGGTTCTGAAGTTTGCCATCATTTTCATCAAACCAGTCTTGATGTTTGTGAGTGCTCTGACCCATATGAACAAAAGCAGTGCTGTACACCAGATCTCTGAAAGCTGCCCACTCCTTTTCTGCTCCACTGTTGCTGACTGTGTGTTGGTTCAACTTCTTCTCCAAATTAGCAACAAACTGTTCCTGCTCAGAGAAGTACTCTGATCTGTTGACATTAATTCTTTTGATAGTCATTTTGCCTTGGGGCCACCACTTTTGTTGAATGTGAATATTTAACTTGGAGAGAATAAGTCTATGATCAGTCCAATACTCTGTGCCACACATTGCCTACGTCACTCTCACATGCTGTCTGTCTCTTCTCCTTATAATCACATAGTCAATTAAATGCAAATGTTTGCTGAGAGGGTGCATCCACAAAATTTTATTGCATTTAGTTAAACAAAAAACAGTGTTGATGATGAGAAGGTCATGAGATGCACAAGTCTTCAGTAGTAAGTGACCATTGCTGTTGCTGTTTCCAACTCCATTCCTCCTAAGGACTCCCTGCCATGTCTGGTAGTCTGATTCTACTCTAGCATTAAAATCACCCAAATTATAAGCTTGTCCTTTTTTGGCACATTGATGATAAGAATCTCCAGGTCTTCATACAATTTTTCTTTGACCTCATCAGGGTTTGTCATGGTAGGAGCATAGGCACTATGATGGTGGTGTAACATTTTCCTGCAAGTGTCAATCCCATTGTCACGAGCCCGTCATTCACTCCTTTTGGTAGGCATACAAGCTTGTCGACTAGATTAGTTCTGATTGCAAAACCTACTCCAGCTTCACAGTGCTCCCCTTCACTGCAGCCACTCCAGAAAAATGAGTATCCTGATCCAACAACTTGCTCATCAGACTTTTATAATGGCAGAAGAGTCTATAGGTTCTGCATGAGCTAGCTGTGACTAGAAAACAGTTCATGTAAAAAAGAGATAGTGGTTTAGGGCCTCCAACTCAACAGAAATCCATAAAGAGATGTGCAGCCAAAAGAGCTAATGATTTAGTCCAGTGTGAGGAAATCCTACTCCTCTCTGCTTCGTCAGATTACATTTAGAGTGTGTAGTTGTGTACAGTTCAGGGCACCATATTTTGGAAAGGACACTAACAAACCAGAGAAAGTCAACCAGAATATTGACGTGACTTGAAACCATGTCGTAGGAGGCTTGATTGAAGGAATGAAAAAACTTAGTCTGGAGAAAAGAAGACTAGTGATGGCAGTGGCAGAGAAGAAAATAGATAGGATAACAGTCTTCAGGTTGGGTTGTCTTGGGGAAAGAGGATTTCTTTTAGACTCAGAGTACAGAACAAAGGCCAACTAGTATAAGGTACAGGAAGGTGGAGTTTCAGCCCATACAAGAAAAATGGCTTAACAGTTAAAGCTATCCAAAAGTAATTAGGAATTAGTGCTAAGAAAGTGAATTTTTAAAAAATCCATTCCCTTTAACTTAGACATCCTACTGATAGGCATATAGCTCAAGAAGTAAAAAATACAATGGTCCCACGTATACCAAAATGTTCATAGTAGCACTTTGTGTAGGACTGGCAACAAAGTGACACCTGCTGGTAGAAGAATGGCTAAATAAATGGATACATAAATGTGCTCTGTACATTTGTACACTATATACTATATACATGGAATAGTACTACACTGTTAAGAAATGATGGATATTTAAAATATAGAGAAGCACAGGAAGACATATGAATTGATGCAAAGTAAAATAACATGCACACCAACTACAACAATATAAATGGAAAGATTTGAAAAATAAAAAATAAAAACTGATTGCTGTATAATTATCATGACCGAGCTTGGTTCCAAAGAAGGATTATGAAAAATGGTCTCCTTCCCTTTTTTACAGAAGTGTAAGAAGACTATGGATTTGAAATACTTCACATAATGTTAGACTTGGTTAATGCACTGGATAGTTTTGTTAAACTGTTTCTCCTCCACCCCCTCGCTTTTTTATTCTTAGTTATAAGGCATGGCTCTCTGAGGGGGGAATGAGGAAGAATTTATATTAAAAAATGAAGGTGATGATAACAATAAATTAAAACTATAAAAATTAAAATGAGTTCAACAAATATACAAATTATAGTTTTCCAGAAATGCACTAGGTTGCCTCAAATGGTAGTGAATGACCCAACACTGAAGTGCTTCAAGCAGAGTCCACTGTAATAGACGGCATTCATGATTTGGGAAGAGCTTCAGATAGATGACTTCTGACTCCGTTCAAACTCCAAAATTCTATGATCATGATTTGCAAATGGTATTTCCTCCTCTTAATTCCAGATTTGCTTGACAGGCTTAAGCATGCCTGTATACTCCCAAAATTAGGATATAGTTTGAGGAGGAGGGGATGGATTGACAGGAGAAAGGAAGAGAATAAATGAACTAGATTTCCCAGATGAATTGTGCTCTATATGACTGTGTGGTCTCACCATTAAGCTTCTGCAAATCCCCCACTATGTTATTGTTGTTGTTGTGTCTGATTCTTTGTGAGCCCATCTCAGGTTTTCTTGGCAAAGATACTAGCATGCTTTGCCATTTCCTTCTCCAGCTTATTTTACAGATGAGGAAACTGAGATTTAAGTGACTTGCCAGGGATCATCGCACAGTTAGTGAGTGTCTGAGGCTGGATTTCAATTCAGTTCTTCCTGACTTCAGGCTCTGTACTCTATCTACTGCACCGCCTAGCTGCCCCCACTATGTTTTAGCATTTTCTAAACTCTTATTTTTTTGGCTATAAATGATGGGGTTTTTTTTGGAGGGGAAGAGGGTTTTGGAGTGAGTTGGTCAGGTAGTGGTCTGGCCTGTGATTTCATCTATGTAGGGAACTCCCAGGGTCTATGTAGGAAACTCCCCGCATCAATACAGGTGAATGATTCCTCTATAACCTATAGTCATAGAGAATCACTTGGGGGCAATAGTGAATTCCGAGTTGGGAGGATCAAGGTTAATCACGTACCATTATCACAATTTAGTTTTACCTTCTCAGACTAGCCCTTTCATCTCATCCAACCCATCTTGCCTCATTTTAAAAACATTTGCTTATGGTATTGCTAGGAAAATCTGAATTAGATGAAGGGAAATCTAATTCCATGGGTACATAATTGGTCAGGTAACAAGTAACAAGCATTTTGTTAAGGTTTTACTATGTGCCAGGCACTGTGTTAACATGAGGGATATGGTAATGAAGTCCAGAGACTCAGAAACACAGCAGGAGGAGAATGAAACGTGGTTGGCCTGTGCCCATCACCAAAATGGAGGCCATGAAATTGACCAGTGGGAGAAGGGAACCAGCAAAGTGGAGGGGTGTTCCAGGGTAACAAGGCAGTTGAGTCATGGTTGCCAAGACCTTAGAATCAGAGGCATAGGCAGGAAGAAAATGAATTAATTGGGCAGTAGAATCCTCCCCTCTCCCACAGGAAATGAATACCATTCAGAAGTTGGTGCCCCTTTGCTCCAAGACCAAAGAAGGCTCCAAATGGCTTCATTGGATTCCCCACCAAGGCTCTTCGAGAATTGCTAGTTTGTGAGGTTTGCATTCTTTCTCTCTTTTATGAGGTCCATAATAGCTTAAAGCTATTGATATTCGTTGGCCAGCCTGGAGAGAAGCACCTACTGCAGTCCATGACTTCCGAAGGCCTCAGCCGCTTATGCCAGGTTTTTGTTAACCCTTTTAGTCTTAGGGCTCTACCTCCTGTTACAATGCTTATCTTTATCTCTATATCCCCATCAGAACCTACTTTACTGAAATGTAAGGCATACTATTTACCGTAACATACTTATTTTTTTCTTTGTTAGATTCATGAGTATTCATGATGTCTCAACTTATGTAAAAGCTAGAAGCTGGCTTATGAAAGTTAAAAAAATATTAGTTTTTTTGTCATATCATAAAGACAAGGTGCACTTTCTCCCAACTGGGTAAGTACTTTGTGTTTTTCCAAAGAACATATTTGAAATATGTGAACTTTTCTAGATGTTCAGAAAAAACTCATATTCTATAGAATTTTATATCATGGTTATTTATATACAGGTTATCTCTACTCTAAATTAAACTCATTGAAGACAGATTATTTGTCTTTATATGTCCCTTTAACATAGTATCCCCATTAGAAGCTACTTTACACGTTGTACATAATAAGTGATAAACCTGAACAAATAAATCAGCTTCCTTTGAACCAACCATTATTGTAATCAATTTTTATTCATGGGGAGATGATCTATGTATTGCACAGGCCCTTTGTTCATCTTCTTTCCATCTTGCTTTGGCCTATCCTCATCTCCTTTGGCTTTGGTTGTTTCACTGGTCATCAATAATACTACCATCACAAAGGTGGAGAAAGGGAGGAAAGAGGAAATTCATATCTGTCTTTTGTTCGTCCTTTGTTTTCAAAGAGGACCATGACATCAGGGAGGTGATGCCATGACATTCAAGTGAATTGGATTTAAGTGAGGGAGGGCTGTGCAGAGTCACCAGCCTCACTTTCTCTCTGGAGTCATCTTAGTCCAGTGGTGAGATATAGATCAGGATGACTGGAGATGGCCCGGGATGCAGTGAGAAATCTTGGTCTTTTTAAGCTAAGGTTTTTAACAGGTCTCAGTTTGACTGAGGCAATGCTCATTCATTGATTAAGGCTAGTTAAGAAATGAAGCAGAGAATGGCCTCTTTACCTAGTCTATTTTGAGCTTTGATTCCCAAGTCTCATACAGACTACTCCACCACACTGAGCTGCTTAAGGTGCCCTTTCTGAATGACATGGAGCAGGGATGCGGAACTTCCAGCTCCATGGACTCACTGGTTTTTTACCTTAATTTCATTTTAGCCAAAAGACAGGTATTACAACAGCAACAAACATTTATTGAGCACTTTATTGTAGGCAGAAAACTTGTTCTAAGTGCTTGGGAGATATAGTTTACATAAGACTTAGTCCCTACCCTCAAGATGCTCACAGATTGGCAAGTATTTTAAAATGTGCTTATGGTTGTGAAAATGCAACATAGCTTCAACAAGCTTTAACATCAAGATTCTAAAAATTTATGAGAGACAGATGTTTTTCCTCAGTAAAGAAAGTGTGAAACTGATATTTCCATAACAGAATATTAGGATTTTTTTGCATTTATAAACAGGAAAATAAAAGAGTTTCAAGGGTACCTATAATTGTAATTTGAAAGCAGGAATGAAAATAATGTTCATAAGAAGGTTGGTAATATTTGCCATTTTTTTTAAGTTTAAAGGAGTATATATTTTCAGGGAAAAACAATCCTAGGAAATGAGCCATGTATTTACTTCTCAGGATTTTTCCAAGTTGTCTCTAGATTTCTCCCTTTAAAAAAATTGTACTGAATAAAATTTTATATTCTTTTCTTAAAAACATTATGAGTGATGAAATGCAATGTTCTCTATTTCTCTCTAGAAAAGGGTATCCCAAAAGTTTTTAGCTATTAAAACTGCATTAAGACTTTTGGGACATCCTGTATACTATACAATGCACATGCACACATACCTATACATATATGTGTATATATATGCACACTCATATATAATAGATACAGATATACATACATGTATCCACTTATTTATGTGACTCTTGGTTTTTATTTTTCTTTGGAAAATATCCTCAATAGAATAAAAGTTCCAAAACCCTGACCTAGGGCAACAAGCAGTTGCTCTTATGGAAGAAGGATTACATTTGTTCAGCGTTGTCCCAGAAGACAGAGCTAAGAGGCAGCTAAGTTTCAATGGGTGCTGGACTTGCAGTCAGGAAGACATAAGTATGAATCTTGCCTCAGGAACACTCTAGCTGTGTGACCCTGGGCAAGTCACTCAAGCTGTCTTTCCCTCAGTTTTATCATCTAAAAAATGAGGGTAATAATAGAATCTATCTTGGATACTCGAGGTTCAAATGAAGTAACATATGAACATTATAAATATACATAATACATATATGTATATACCTCATATACAAAGTGATACTATGAAAATACTGCTATTAACTAAGTGAAAGTTACAAAGAAGCAAGTACCAGTTCACTTTAAGGAAAAACAGCATAATAATTAGAGTTGTTTAAAAATGGAATGGGTCGTCTCATTGGGTAGTGAGTTCTGTGCCACTGGAGATCTTCTGGCAAAGGCTGGTTAATTGTTTGTCAAGAGTATTGCAGAAGATTCGTGCTTTGAGAAGGGGTTGGACAGGATATCTTTTAAGGTCCTTTCCAACAGTAGCCTTATTCTGTGATTCTAAATGTCATTTTTCTTTCTCTATCAATTATATTTCTATTGTGTAATAAGCACAATCTTTATTTTTGATTTTCCATTTTAATTTATAGTCAACCATTATTACTGATGATGAAGAGTTTTTAAAAAACCATATATTGAACTTTAGTTGTTTTTAGGTATTAGTTAATAATGTATTTGAATGATTGACATCCTATTTAATCTCACTTCTTTTACAGGAAGTCTATATTTAGGGCTTTTATATATGAAATTGTATTTTCAGATGAGTTTCAGTATACAGGATACATTGTCACAATATTATACGTCTATCCCATGATAATACATCTATGGCCAACTGTAAGAGATTCCTATGTGGGGGGACTGATAATCGTAAACTACTATTTTGTTTTCTTGTGCATAATAGAAGCAACACTAAAGGTATTGTATAAAATATCAATGTTTTCCATAAATAGAAAAATTCAGATTTCTTAAAAAATCTCTTTTCAAAGTTGAGTTAACTTGATGTCAGACACCATTTACCGTGATGCTTGGCATGATTCTAGAGTCATGATTATAGAATCTAAAATCTAGACTGTTTCATGTAATTTGTTTGTTCTTCCCTGGAAATAAGAAAGAACTCACTCGAGATCTTCGAGAGAAGGCTAGAAGACTATGTGTTGAGAATTTTGTAGAAAAGATTCCCACATAGGTATTGATTGGACTAAGATGGCTTCTGACGTCTCTTTCAACTCTGAGATTCTGTAACTCAGCTAAGATAAACATCATAAATGCTGATAAACATAATGGATTAAAATTAAATCAGTATCATACAGAGGGATTGGACCTCAACTTATTGTTTCTTGTTTGAAAATGACTGATATTTTAAGAATTTTAGGTTTGGAATCTATAGGAGATTATATACGTTCAACTCAAACTAGGTATCATTGAAGAAACACACATATGTATATGTATACACATGCATATATATACATACATACATACATACATACACACATACACACACATACATATATATATACACATTTCTATTGAAAAGCAGTGTGAACATTTTTCCAGGTGGTCAGAAATGATCATCTGAATAATCAGCCCTTGTGCTTAAAGACATTCATCAAATCCTATGAATTTACTAGGTATTCATTTGGGTCTCCCAAAGAGTAAGGGAAATTCTCATAAGTTATATTATGTTCTTTGGAGCCCTTATTAATGAATGCCAAATTCTTTTGGGGCAAATGAATTCTTCACTAAATTAGTTAGGGTACTAGTGTATTAGTATTCTGGAAAATTTTCTCAGCAGGGAGAAACATCTTAACCCAAAATTTCTTTCTAACTAATTAGGTCATGGAACAGTTTTGGATTTATGAGACATGATGACAAAATCCATAAATGCTGGTTTCAGGTGTGGGGTGAGGTCAGCAGGTTTGGATCTAAAGGAGGGGAGGATTTTTAGAATAAAAAAGAAGAAATAATTACTCCTGGTTAGGGACAGCATATTTTCATACTCCTCAAATGCCAAATGTGTGTGTGTGTGTGTGTGTATAAAATTTCATACTTCATTTTTTAGGAGGGGAAATACCATTAGCATAAAAATTCTCCTGAATTCCTTGTTAACATTGTATGAGATACAAGGGCTTTACAGAACTTATTTTGGGAAATTATGGCCTAATCTAATGTCTTTTCCAGAGTACCTCTTTTCTTCACTATCAGAGGATTGTCCATATACTATGCTTCCTTCTTTTTATTGTTTTTCACTGTTCTCAGATGTTAATTACATCTTAGGATATCAGCATTTACCAATCTGAAAGAAATTCCAACCAGGACCCTAATCTAAAAAGATCTGGATAGGCTAAATAATCAAGGCTATCATTAGTAATAGCACTTGAAGGTTTGTGAAGCACTTTGCATGTGTTTTCTCATTTTATTCTCACAACAACCCTATGATGTAGCTGGTATTAATATCCCCATAATACAGATGAAGAAACTGAGGCTGAGAAACTTTAAGTAACCTACCCAGAGTCACACAGCTAATAAGCATCTGAATTGGGATATGAACTGAAGTCTTCCTGACTCTGAGTCTAGCGTTCTTACACATTGTGCCACCTAACTGTGCACAGAGTGATAGACCTAGAATTAGAAAGACCCAAGTTCAAATCCCCACCTCAGGCATTTACTAGCTGTGTTATCCTGGGCAGGTCACTTAACCTGTCTATTGGTAAAATAAGAATGAAAGTAGCATCTACCTCCCAAGGTTGTTATGAGGATCAAATGAAACTACACACACACACACACGTATACATGCATACATATGGAGAGAGAGAAAGAGAGAAAGAGAGGAGAGAAAGAGAAAGAGAGAGAGAAAGAGAAAGAGAGAAAGAGAAAGAGAGAGAAAAAGAGAGAGAAAGAGAAGGAGAAAGAGAAAACTTTGCAAACTTCTTAAAGTGCTATATAAATGAGGCAGCTAGGTGGCATAGTGGATAGAGCACCGGCTCTGGAGTCAGGAGGACCTGAGTTCAAATCTAGCCTCAGATCAGACACTTGACACATACTAACTGTGTGACCCTAGGCAAGTCACTTAACCCCAATTGCTTCATGCCCCCCAAAATGCTATATAAATGCTAGCTACTATTAACTATTAGCATGTTTGTAGTTTTCCATTCACAAAAACTGGATTAAATAAAAATTTACCTGGATAAATTCCAGTTGCCTAAGTTAAAAATATACCAGGGAAGGCATGAGATACTCTCATCTGAACAGATAAGAATAAAATACAATTATTTTAATTTGCAATGGTGACAAATCAGGGAAATCCAGGTCTATAAAAAGAAAAATAAAGTCTCTAATATGTTTTATACTTTGGAGCTGTGTCTTGTGAGAAAAAGAGATTGAGAGATAGAGTAACATATAGAAACAGAAAGCATGCAAATGAGATATTTAATATTATTCCATTGCAGCTAGGCAGCTAGTTGGTGCAGAAGATAAGAGTGTTGGGTCAGAAGTCAAGAATACCTAGTTCAAATATGTCTTCAGACACGTATTTGCTGTGTGACCCTGGATGAGGCACTTAAACTGTCTACTTCGGTTGCTTTCTGCCATTGTTTTTAAGGCATAAATTTGCATTAATCATGGCTAAAAAAAAAGCATGGAAATTATGTTAGTAATGCTCTAGCATCTAAAGAAAGAAGAAAAACTTAACTTTTTGATTGAAAATAGAAATAATAATGACCCTGTGCCCCCAAATTTAAAGTTCCAGTAAGTGCTGAAAAGTCCCCTTCCACATCTCCACTAGTCTCCATCTACCTTCTCATATTCCTTCAATTATATCTGCTGATTTCAGATCAAGAAATGGAGGATTTAAGTGCATTTAAGATTGTGAAGTTTTCTTCTTGAGCCACCAAGGCGTGGTAGAAACAACAATGAATTTAGAATCAGAAGATCTGAGTTTGAAGTTTGGTCCCGTAACTTGCTGTCTTTGATTCAGGCCAAATTACTTTACTTCTTTCTTAGAGTACCTTCTCATCTCTAAAACGAGAAAGTTGGTCTATCTGATCTCTAAGATCCTTCTGGTACTAAAGTCATGTGATTCTATAGGCCTTTCTATATTTTACGTTCAAGATAAGAAGATTCCTCATTCAATGATACTGTTTTTCTATTTTTTTTAAATTACATCTGGGTTAAGTAGGTTCCTTGGGGTCAGTTTGGGAATATCATTATTCACATTGTTTCAATGGGAAAATTGTATTCAGAATTCTAAGTAAGGGGCTTCAAAGGAATTTTTGAATTTTTGAGTTATTGCTGAGAACTGCCTTGTAATCTGTGATCATTTAATTTTTTTTCACATCATTATAAAGTACTCCAAGCAATAACATTTCCTTTTTTGCTTTGATTCCTGAATAGATAATAATTATGAAAAACAAATATTTTCATCACAGTTGGAACCATCTGGAATTTTGCGTCATCATTTTTGGACTCATCGATATCATTTGCTTACACTTAGTCAGACAGAAACCAAGAGATATTATCCTAATTCAATGTTCGGTAATATTAGGATTTTTAAGAATAATAAGATTTCTTCGTATTTTTAAGGTAAGGATTCTGCTATTTAAGTGATGACCATTTCCCTATGATGTGATGTTAAAATATGGCATCTCCCAGGAGTCATTGAGGAAGATCTTAGCTGAATACCATGTAAAATGAGCAGGGCTGAGCACAGGGATTGGAGTCTATACTTGCGGTTACACGGTTTTAAAAATCAGTTTAAACTCCCCCATTCCAATTGTCAGCTAAGGTACAGGATAAGGGCACATCCAAGTCAGTTAGGGAAAGTTTGACAAATTACCCATCTGATCATGTTTCAAGAGACGTAGGTAATTCTTACTGCCTCAAAAATACCTTTCTTGTTACATACCCTTGAGTCAGGCATGAGTAATCATAGTCTGGGATCATGCCAAAGGCAGTATGCCTAGCTCTACTCCTCCAAAGACTTAGTGACCTCACTTTAGCCTCTGAATGTACACAGCCTCCTATTATAGCAACTCATCCAAATCTATTCCCCCTCAAAATTACTCCACACTTTAATATTACTCCCTCTTCCTTTTCCATACTGTTAATCAAAATTCCATTTCTTGATGCGGGCACATGGCCAAGTGTTAAAAGGATAAGCTAAAATTAGCTGTTTAAAATAACTTACACTTAAGCATTAGTGACTGGTAGACAACATCCTCTAGGGGATATCTGTTTTTGAAAAATGAACCTAATTTAATTTAACACAACCTCAAGGGGTAGAATGTATGTGGGAGAGATTATTGAGCAGCCTGGCTCTCTAGTATCTTTTATCTGGTATCAAACACTTATTAGCTGTGTGACCTTGGGTAAGTGACACTTTACTGCTGTCTACCTCAGTTTCCTTACTTGTAAAATGGAAATAATAACAGCACCTACCTCCCAGGGTCATTGTGAGGATAATTTGTAAAGTGCTTCACAAACTATAAGGTTCCATATATGTTGGCTATTATTGTTGTCTACTCTGGGAGTTTCCTGTACCAATGAAATCAATCAATCAACCAATATTTATTAAGTGCCTACTATTTGCCAGGTTCTGTGCTAAGTGCTTGGGGATACAAAAAGAGGCAAAACAGTCCCTGCCCTCAAGGAGCTTACAATCTAATAAGGGAGACAACATGCAAACAAATATGTACAAACAAGCTACATATAGGAAAAAAAGGAAATAATTATCAGAGGGAAGGCACTAGAATTAAGAGGTGTTGAGGAAGGCTTCTAGTAAAAGACAGGATTTTAGTTGGGAATTAAAGGAAGCCAGGAAAATCAGTGGGTATAGTGGAGGAGGGAGAGCATTCCAGGCATGGGGGACAGCCAAAGAGAATGCCTCAAGAGGAGAGATGAAGTGTCTTGTTTGAGGAGGCCAATGTCACTGAATCAAAGGGTGTGTGTTGAGGGCTTGAAATATGATATTCTGGAGGGTGAAGGAGCTAGGATTATAACCAAGAATCACTTACCCAGCAAAACCGAGTATAATCCATGAGGGGAAAAATGGATATTCAATGAGATAGGGAAATTTCATGCATTCTTGAGAAAAGACTGGAGCTAAATAGAAAATTTGACTTTCAAATACAAGATTCAAGAGAAGCATGAAAAGGTAAACAGGAAAGAGAAATCATAAAGGACTTATTAAAGTTAAACTGTTTACATTCCTTCATGTAAAGATGATATTTGTAACTTATAAGACCTTTCTTATTGTTAGAATAGTTAGAAGGAGTATATATAGACAGAGGATACAGCTGTGAATTGAATATGAAGGGATGATATCTAAAAAATAAAATTAAGAGGTGAGAGAGGAATGTACTGGGAGAAAGAGAAAGGGAGAGGTAGAATGGGGTAAATTATCTCACATAAAAGAGGCAAGAAAAAGCTTTTACAGTGGAGGGGAAGAAGGGGAAGATAAGAGGGAGTGAATGAGCCTTACTCTCATCAGAACTGACTCAAAGACGGAATAACATACACACTTAATTGGGTATAGAAATCTATCTTACCCTACAAAAAAGTAGGGGGAAAGGAGATAAGAGAAGCATCTGTGATAGAAGGAAGGGCAGATTGGGGGAGGGGGTAGTCAGAAGCTAAACACTTTTGAGGAGGGACAGGGTAAAAGGAGAGAGAATAGAATAAACAGGGGGTGGGATAGGATGGAAATATAGCCTTTTACAACATGACTATTATGGGAGTGTTTTGCATGTCTACACCATGTATATATAGCCTTTATTGAATTGCTTGCCTTCTCAATGGGGGTGTGGGTGGGGAGGTAGGAAGGGAGAGAATTTGGAACTCAAAGTTTTAAAAATCCTTTCCCTTATAAGAAGTGACCCTTCCTCTGATGCTGAGTGAAGTCTGCAGAACCAGGAGAACATTGTACACAGTAACAGCCTAGTTGTGTGATGACTAACTTTGATAAACTTAGCTCCTCTCAGCAACGCAAAGATCTAAGACATCTCCAAAAGTCTCATGATGGAAAATGCTATCCATGATGGAAAATACTATCCCCATCCAGAGAAAGAACTATGGAGTTTGAATGCAGATGGAAGCATACTATTTGGTCTTTTTTTTTTCTCTTCTGTTTTGTTTTGTTTCTTCTTTCTTGTGGTTCCTCCTATTGGTTCTAATTCTTCTTTACAACATGACTAATGTGAAAATAGGTTTAATAGGAATGCATATGTAGAGCCTATATCAGATTGCACTCTGTCTTGGGGAGGGAGGCAGGCAGAGAGGGGAAGAAAATTTAAAACTCAAAAGCTTATGGAAGTGAATGTTAAAAACTAAAAATAAACTAATTTTTTTAAAAAAAGAAACAACATACAGACAGAGAAGAAAAAAAAAGTATTTATTTAAAGACTATAACTTTCCAGGTATAACCAGTTACCAAATGGCATTTATGCTCATTTTGGGTAATGGTATTTGACCCAATCTTTCATTGAATTTATTCATAAAATAACATTTATATTCCAAGTCTTGAAGCTCTTATATTCCTTTAACAGTAAACATTTTTATACAAGTAATGGAATCTTACATCGAGAGGTGGCAGAGACTTCAGGGGCTATCTAGTCCAAATCCTGTATTTTAGGGATGAGTAAGCTAAACCCCAGGGATTTAAATAACTTACTAAAGCTCACCTCTATAGTAAGCATCAGAGACCCATTGGAAGCTAGGTCCCCTGAGTCCACCATATATCATTCTGCCTTCATCATTGATGATGCCTTCATTAAAGCACAATTATTTCATACAGAAGTAATTCTCTGCAGAACTCCAATTTCTAAGTTCCATGAAAGCTAGGACTCTTGTCTCATGGGTCTTTTTACCTACCCTAGCGCCAAGCAAAGTATATTGATGGTAGGTGCTATTAAATATTTGTTGAACACCAAATGAACACATGTACAAACATGGGATAAATTACATATATTGGCATTGATTACTAGTTGAGTGGCTAATATATCTAATAGGAGAGAAAGACTTTGAAACTGTGTCTTATTTTTCAAATAAATTGACTGATTTAAAAAAAATAAAGAGACCCTTCCTTCTTCCAAATTGCCACAGAAATTTGAGCTAATGGTCCTGAACCATTCTACCTTATATAAATGTCAATTATCCTTATCTTCATTATTATTCTTATTGTTGTCACTATCATGTGTGTACATATGTTACTTCTTCTACTTGTTGATAGCTCCATAAAACCAGGGACTGTGTTTCATTCATTTTTACACCTTCCTGATGTCGCAGTCCTCTTAGAGAATGAAGGACAAACAACAACAATAACAATCCACCAAGCCTAGCATGAGACCTAGTACATTGCAGTTTGATCAATAAATATTTGTAGAATGAATTAGTTAAAGCAGCAAAGAATTTACCCTTCCTTCATTTCAGCTTTCTTATGTGCAACAGTGGCCTATTTTTTTTTTTGCATACATGGATAACATTTACTACCCATAATTAATAGAGTAGTCATTGAGTTGTTTTTCCAGTAATGATGATGGGTTTTTCTTATACATTCATTTAGATTTCATAGATTTTATATATGCAAAAATCATTAGCATGAGATCTGAATTCTAGAAATAATGATTTTTTCCCCACCTTGATACAATTTGATAGCTGAGGTATTGATGTGTGTGTATACTTTTACATGTAAGTTCTACTACTTAGCCAGCCCATGAATACTTTTTCCTAGTGCCTTTTAGAACAATAATGATAGTTAGCATTTATATAGTGTGTTAAAGTTAGCAAAGCACTTTATGCTTCACAATAGGCCTGGGAGGTAGGCCTGATTATTGTCATCATTCTCATTTTACAGATGAGGAAACTGAGGCATCTAGAAGTTAAGTGGCTTGCCCATGGTCACATGGCTAATAAACATCTGAGGCTGGCTTTGAACTCAGGTCTTCCTGACTCCAAGTCCAGCGCTCTGTGCACTATGGCTCCATCTTGCTGCCTTGGTGACAGAACAAAGCTGTCAGCTTTGCAGGAATGAGAGAACATTCCATTTGGAAATCTTCCCAAGTAAAGTTTCCCCGATAATCTGCTGATTCTTAAAGGTGTGTTATCTTACACCTGGGATTTCTTTGACATGCTATTTTAGATGTTGCTACCAACACTGATAAATGTAACTGAAGAACAGATCAAAAAACGCCTTAGCTTGATGTATTGTATTACAAAGGGCTATATCCAAAGTCAAGAGGATACAAAACTGTTAATTAAACAGATTTCTACTCGAGAATCCATATTTCAGGTGAGGAGAATACAAATAATTTATAAAACTTTAGAGGGGGGACCTGGACAAAAGTTGCTCTTGATGAACAGATATGGAGCTATATCGTTGGAGGGAACTCCCTAATTTATAAGATCACAGATCCATTTTAATGTGAAGGAAAATATATCGCTTTTCATACCATTCAAACATGAGTCAGGTGAACATCAGTGATTTTGCTACATTAAAAAGTTTAATGTTGAAACATCAATAGTACTAGGTAGGATTTAATGGGCTGGGCTCACAGTTGATAAGAAGAGGGAAACGGCTGGTTTGCATTAGAGAAATTGTGTAGTTCTCATTGATTCCAAATGGTTTCCTGCTGCAGAAGTTCATCAATACCAATATCTTCCTGGTAATACTACATGACTGAGAATCAGAAAAATTACAAGTGCAAGTCACCAAAAAGTCAATGGTAAGGTATATATTGCAATACATTGACAATTGTAACTTAAGGAAGAGAAGTGGCATAAAAGATATTATCAGGAACATTTAAAACTGGAGAAGGAGATAGACCAGTCATGGAACCAAAAGAGAAGGGTAATAAATGAACAGCCCAAATACTACCCTCCTATCCATGAAAAAGAAAAAAGAAGGCCTTCAGCACATTGGGTAAATCTGTTCAACATTTATGGAAAGACATAGATAATTATACAGTATGAGAATGCCTGGATGGCTTTTTGAGAGCGTATGGATGCATCAGAGTACTTAAAACGAAGTTAAGAAATATGGTACCTACTGGATATTCAGGCTATTGACTATAAGAGAGCAATTTTTTCCTTGATCTGAGCAAGGGCATGGGAGAGGGGGCAGAGAGATATTTAAGAAATATTAGCTTCATGTTAGAGGGAGGAGAATCAAGCCCTGTATTTCCAAGAAGTTATGAATGAAATGAATGCTTCTTTACGTTGCCTATTTTGGGCAAATAGTCTTTTAAAAAAAAACCAACCCAGAAATATTTTACACTTTGTATAAGAGAAATTGAATTTAATTTTCAATTCCTTTCAGCAACTTTATGAAATTTTGGAAAGGAACAAGCGTGAAGCTGTCAAAGAGCTAGGTAGGTGGAACTAAGGAACATTTTAAGTATCTGTACTAATTCCCATTTTGTTCTTTCGGACTCATTAGTTAACTTGAAGTGACCCAAGGGAAATTATTTAACTGCTCTGGGTGTAAGTTTCTTCATCTGCAAAATGAAAGAGTTTGGATTGGGTGATTTCTAAGACCACTTTCTGCACTAATAATCAGTGATTTCATGATTTGAGCATAATAAATTATGAGAATATTTAACTGTAAATCTAAAATGATTTGGGGAGGCCTTGCTGCTTTCAAAGAAGCAGGTATTTCTTGTGTGTCTTGTAGTAGAAAAGACATTGGATCTGTGATCACAGGGCATGAATGTCTATTCTGTCTCTGTTGCTTGTTACCTGTATAACTTTGCTCTGGTCCTCACTTTCTTTATTTGTAAAACAAAACTAAACTAAACTAAAAAAAAAACCCCTTTTTACTTTAAATCCTGTAACTCTATGATTTCTCTCTTGCCCCTAAAGAAAAACACATATAAAATGACTGTCCTTGAGATACTTTTAGTGTTCCTTCTTTCAGATTTAAGCCTTAGGTTAGTTTATTTTCTTCTGTGGAAACTGAGGGGAGAATTTAATGAATTTTTAAGGTCTCTTCAAGCCCAAGGGTGTTATGGTTCTATAATCTATGTTTCATGGTAAAACTTCACTTCGTCTATTATTACAGAGTTTAAGAAAAGCACCTCACAGAAAGACCAGTGTGGTCAGCCTTTTCTTTTTGCCATAATGCATTTCTGGAAACCCTGTTGGAAAGCAAAATTGGTGAAAGAGTAGTCCTAATTTTTGCTTAAATGTAAAAACACAATTAGGGACAACCAGGGGGCACAGTGGATAGAATCTCATCTCTCCCCCCACCCCACCTGTCACCCCCAGTCAAGAAGACTCATTTTCCTGAGCCTCAGATACTTAGCTATGTGACTGTGGGCAAATCACTTGATCATGTTTGCCTCAGTTTCTTCATTCATAAAATGAGCTGGAGAAGAAAATGGCAAACCACTCAAGTATCTTTGCCAAGAAAACCCCAAATGAGGTCACAAAGAGTGGGGCATAACTGAAAATGACTGAAATGACAAACAAAAAACCCCTACAGCTACCTCATTTTTGCCACTGGATGGGGCTAATTCCTCTATAAAACAAGATGTGGAGGCCAGCAGTTTTAAAGATCAGCTTCATACCTGGGCCATCTTTAGGGACCAAGGAAAACTGAAGAAAAAGTGGATTGAGTTGCTGACAAATGAAGAGCATTTTTTTGTTTATTGATTTCTTAGGTAACATTGGATGATTGGATTGGTGAACCAAAAAGCATTTTTAATTAGCATAGCCTTTGTTTTTAACTATTATGAGAGAGATTCTTTGAAGATTCACAAACGCTAGGAATTTTGGTTGGGGAAATATCTAGAGGATTAAAGAACTTCAGATATGTTCTTTTAGGATGGTCTTTAGTGAGGAAATCACTTTATAGCTGGCTGTACTTAAAATTGTTTTAAAAATGTATGTTATGAAAAAAATCAGTGAAGCTTATTTTTGAAAGATATGTTATGGAAAATTAATATATTTCTACTGAGAATAAGAAGTTTGTGTGTCAGAGGTCTGGGAGAATCAGTACCAATTTTATACTAACTTCAATTACATTGTAGAAAAGGAACACTGGATTGAATTAGAAAAGCTTGCTGTTGGAGGAAATCCTTCACTGTCATTATCAACAAAAAGTATTTATTGAACGATTACTACTCAGGATATAAGGCTATAAATATAGGTTGGAGCCATATTGTGGAGGACTTGAGTATCAAGCTGATGAACTCCAATTTTATTTTGGAGGCAGTGAAGAGTCATTGAATATCTTTGTGAAAGGCATGACATGATCAGAAACATGTATAAGGAAGATCAGTCTGGTATCTGTGCAGGATGCATTGAAGAGGAGAAGGGAGAAGGAGAGAGAGAAAAAGATCAAGGGAAAGAGAGACAGAAACAGAGACAGAAAGAGACAAAGAGAGAGAGAGAGGGAGAGAGAGACAGAGAGAGAAAGACAGAGAAAGAGAGACAGAGATAGAGAGGTGGGAAGACAATTGTCTATTGTCAATCAAGCCAATTAATACAGGAAGGAGTTACTAAAGATTTTGACTTGAGGTTGTGGCAAGATAAGTATAAAGATGATTTAGAGATGAGATATGGTGTAGAAAGAAATATGTCTAAATGGAATTGCCACAGTCTTTATCATCTTTGTCTCTTTCTTCATGATTATACACAATGGGAAACCTATCCTATTTTACTACATTGTTGTGGGAGGTGTGGCTCAAATACCAGTGCTCTCTTAGTTTGGGTTTGATGTTGAGATGAAACGAGGGACTCACCACTCACTGAAATCTTTAAAAAAAAATACTTTTTTCTAAAACAGTAAGGATATGCAACAATGTATAATCACAGTTATCTTTTCTGGATTTGGCTTTTTCTTGTCTCCATATGGCTATGCTTCTGGTCATCAGGGCAGGATATGGTGAAGGAAGGACACGATGACTGTCATAGGCTACAGAAATCCACCAAGTCCAAGAGGTCCAGATTCTATGTGGCTGGGACTTGTTATGCCCTTAAATGACCAGGAAGCTGCATCTGGGAACCTAGGGCCAACTGGGCCCCAGGGGGCAGCTTTATCTTCTTTTAGGTAAAGCCTCCCTATTGTGGATGGGGAGAAAGAAGCTTCATCAGGGAGACTGCTGGCCCTATCACCAATTATCACAGCCCTATGATAGTTAAATGAATTGTGCTCCTAGGAGTGAGCTTCCTCTGAAATACCTGGACTTGTAAACTGAACTGTACAGTTTTAAATCAGGTTTAATAACCCCTGCATAACCAGATGATTGTGTAGCCCTTTGGATCCTAGTAGGTATGGCACATACTTGCTGTTGGACAAAAACAAAAACGAAAACAGACAATCTGGACAACTGAGAAGAAAGAATTGGAAAACTGAGGAAAACAAAACAAAACAAAACCTAGAAAACTGGCACCTGTGTTGTGAGCCAGCTGGATCCTCTCTGGGAAGTGTGTCCACTGGCCATTGAGAGTTATCACTGTGCACATGAATGTTTCCAGGGATTGAATAGCAAGGAAAGAGAAACAGGACACTGGGTTTGACCCAAGAGTTAGACCTAAAGAAAGTGGATGTGGTTGGAAAGTTTAAAAAAAAAAAAAGAAGAGTAGAAAGGTCTGAAGAAATAACACTACTTTGAAAGGTAGCTTTCCTCATGGACAAGGCTGATTTATATTAGTGGTAACTCAAATATGGCAGCTACGTGGCACAGTGGATAAAGTGCTGGGCCTGGAACCAGAAAGACTCATCTTCCTGAGCTCAAATCTGGCCTCAGACACTTAGCAGCTGTGTGATCCTGGGCAAGTCACTTAACTTTGTTTGCTTTAGTTTCTTAAACTGTAAAATTAACTTGAGAAGGAAATGGCAAATCACTCCAGTATCTTTGCCAAGAAAACACCAAATGGGGTTACAGAGTTGAGCACGACTGGAGCAACTGAATAACAACGCAAAAATGATTTTTTGGAAAATTGTGGAGTTTATAGTTAAAAGTGGAACAGTATAGTGAACCCAAGTTGATGCCCTGTTTGTGAAAAACCGTGTGTTATAGAAGAGGATGTCATGGATAGAGATGATAAGCTTAAAAGGAGCAATGTAAAAAAAAAAACATACTTTCATAGCTGTGTTAATATGTATTAGAACATTTGTAGGCTTTTATTTAAATTTGAGTGAGAGAGGGAGCGTAGGTAACTAAGGATAGTTGTTTTATGTCAAGCCGTGTAGAGTAGCAGGAAGAACACTGGATTTGGAGCCAGAAGAAACTTGGATTTAAATCATCCTGCTTATGATACTTAGTGGTTGTGTAACTGGGCAACTCACTAAACCTCTCTGAGAATCAATTTCTTCATCTGCAGAATGGGAATAAAAATAATACTTTTATTACTGATAAATTGTTATAAGGTTCAAACAAGATAATGGATATAAAGTACTTTGTAAAAGTTTTTTGTCTTCATTCTTTTATTTTTTCATTCAATTTTATTTTTAATTCTGAATTCTCTCCCTCCTATCTCCCCCTCCCTCGGGCACTGAGAAAGCAAAAAAAAAACCAACCCAAAAAACAAAAAACAAACCCATTATGAATATGTATCATCAAACAAAGCTAATTTCTGCATTAGCCTGGTCCAAAAAATAAAAATGTGCTTTTCAGTCTGCGTCTATCACCTGAGTCTATCATCTCTCTATTTGGATGTGGATAGCATATCTCCTCATGATGTTGTTCAGTCATTTCAGTCCTGTCTGACTCTTCGTGACCCCATTTGGGGTTTTCTGGGCTTGGCAAAGATACTGGAATAGTTTGCCATTTCCTTCTCCAGCTCATTTTACAGATGAGGAAACTGAGGCAAAAAAAGTTTCATCACGAGTCCTCTGAAACTGTGACTGGTTCCACACTTTGTAAAATTTCAAAGTACTGTATAAATGTTCGGTGTTACCAGTAAGTATCTCTCTACATTTGGGGCAATGTAGTCATTTCCCTTGAATTAGATCTGCCCAGAGTAAATACCTGCTTATTTAGATTGCTACCTCCTCGGGGAGGAAGCGTGCCTCCTCTCACTGTGGCTCCCTCACAGCCCTCTGTTAGTTCCTCAGACTCATGCTGATGGAGTGGAAAAAGCAGAGTAGTGTCAGAAGACCTGGATCTTGGGCAAGTTACCTGGCCTTCCCAAACCTCAGTTTCCTCGTCTATAAATTGGGGATAGGAATTCTTGCTCTGTCTACTTGACAACCTTTTTGTGAGGACCACATGAGATAATGGATAGGAAGTGTCCTATAACTTTAAAGTATCACCTATCTATTGCAAGCTGCTGTTACTAATAATCATTTACTTTAGGCCTGATAGAACGTGAGTGCCGAGAAGTTGTCATTGCCTTAAAAACCAAGCAAGCCATCCGGAATGTGCTTGGTAAGGCGCTGAAAAATCTAAGATTCCTTTGGTCGAGGGGCATAATTGATAAAATTGAAGGAAGCAAGATGAACAAGGTAATGAGATGATTCCTGGTAAAGCTAGTGAGTGCTCTTACCCTCTGTTTCCACTAACTTATTTTCCTAGGCCTCAAGTACAGTTAACGGTTTCACTTGATTTTTTGCTTTGGCAGTGATGGATGCCAGCTGGTTTGGGGAAGTGTGAATGGGGTGGGAGAGAAATGGATAACTAGATGGGTTAAGACCAGGGGTGGGGAACCTGAGTCCTCTTGGTCACATATGGTCCTTTGACTGAATTCACAATAGTAAATACATAGTAAAGAAAAGTATGTACAATGGAGTGAATTTGCCCATGAAAATAATTAACAAGATGAGAGCAAGGGGGAGGGGAAAGACAGACAACTGACCACTTAAGTAGAACAAATGACTCAGTAAGTTAAAGGTAAAATAGAATCTAACTGCCTGTCAGATTCTTTAAAGAAAGGATATAAAGATAAATGTCAGCTGACTGGTTAATTATCATTTTGTTTGTATTTAGCTATTTCTTGCCAAAATAAAATCGCTGAACAACTTTCCAATGACGATCCCTCCCCCTACTCCTGAGAAGTTCCTTCACAATATTGTTTGGCTGGAGAATAAAGATGTTCTCATTGAATTCTTTAAGGTAAAGATTCTTGTTTTTCTTAGAGGCTCAGAATTGCTGGTAATTCGTTTGTATTCTCTAAGGTCAGCTCGGAAGAGTTGGTGTTATTCAGAATGATTGCTTCCTTGTGGTTCCCCAGGATGATACGCATCTGTTCTCTGTGTCACTGGTCGTCCTGAGACCTGGAGGGAGCTTTGACCCTAGCTAGTATTCATTCAAGAGACCTAGGTGGTAATTCCCATTGTGCTGTTTACTAGCTGTGACTTTGGGCAAGTCACTTTATGTCTGTAGGCCTCAGGGTTCCTCATCTGCAAACCTAAAAGCACTATGTAAATGTGAACCAGTTTCAGCATGCATTTTATCATCTTCATCACCCACTGATCCATGACATCTTAAAATACTTTGAGGGGTGGGTGTGGCCCTTAATCTATAACAAACTGGAATTTCAGGATAGGTTGTAAAACTTGATTTGACTCCGGTGAAGGAATGAATGGAAGATTGTTTTTCTGACTTAGTATGGGCATTATTAAATGTACTGTGAGACTGTGATTCCGATCGGGCTTTACAGAGTTCCAGTGGTTTGTGAATGTTTTCTTCCCAGACCTAATAACGGGTCTGTGATCATCTAAGATCATCTAGAGATTTACTCTAAACAGCAGGATCACCATTCTGTGCTCAAAACTCATGTGATTTCATTGATTCAAAACTGCCTCCAATGATGCAGATCAAAACCCATCCACACCACCCCATTCATGCAAGTATGAATGGTTCTAAAAAATACTTGCTTCATAAAAAGCTTAGGTATTAGAAATCATGGAAATTGAGTTCCTAGGACACAATATCTCCTTGATGCATGTAGAAGGATGTCTACAGGGGTGATGCTGTCCTTAACTGGAAAGGCCTCCCCAGTCCCTATAAGTACATATTTTGGATGAAGAGTACATAGATATTGATACATGGAGACTTCTGTGGTGTGTACCTAAGTTGAGGAAAGGACTTGCAAGTCCAAAGTCCTTCTTCAATAGATGTCAACTCATTGGAATACCTCCTGGAGTTCTTGGGCTACTACCATTGTTATTTTTTCCACCCTGAATGTATCACTTATTAACCTACTACAGAGGAAGCATGCCTTTGAATGCTTACCTAAATCGGATCAGATTGTTGAAGCTCTGAAACTTGTTTTATCTCAGATGCAGTTTACACAAACTGATTGTGGCCATTAACTCAGCCCAAATGGAATCCAGCCCAGTTACAGACCTATGAACCCTTGCAGACCAGAATTGTATCATACTGGGAAAAGGAGTTCTTGGCTCTCAAGGCCTTATTTGAAAACTTGGCTTTCCTAAATCCTTGTCACAATGTACAGCCCCCTGTTAATATCTTTAAATAAGTCACAAACTGAACTAGTGCCATATTTAACCTCAGATACAAAACATTCCAGTGAGCCTAAAATGCCTTCTCCCATAAGCCCAACTGTCTAGCCTTTTCTGAGTCTGTTGATTTGTATGGCAAAGTAAGTAGCAAATCAGCCCCAAACAGACTTAAAGGGTCTCATTTAGAAACTAAAGCTGACAAATCTATATGCATCATAGTCCTTATCTTATGTGACCCACACCTATGCCATGGTTTCTTCTTCCTGGGCAAGAATACCTGCACCCAAGTTCTGTTCCCATATTATGACCTTATTTCTTTAGACCACTTTCCCATATTTAAAACCCTGCACTCTCTAACCCAAGGTTTCCGATGCATGAGACAGGGAACGTGTATATTGGAACACAGAAACCTTTGGGGTGTATACCTGAATCAAGGACCAGACAAGGAAGTAAATAGATCTCCTGCAACCCCTTCAGATTCTCTCCGGGTGTGAACCTTGTGTTTTATTAACAGATTCCATGCAGCTACAATGTCCTCTTTGGGACTGCTCATTGAAATGGTCCACTTTTTCTCATACTGAGGGTGTGGTGGTGACCTTGTCTGCTTAGATGTACATATAGAGCATTTACCATCTCTTCAATCTCTCCAAATTTCTTATTCCAGGTTTAGGGTCCTAGCTTTCATCCTATTTTTGGTTGAACTTTATCTACATCCTAGAGACTGAAGTTTGCTTACCTTCAGCATGCCATTCTCAAACAAATGGTGATAGGAAAAGAATTAATTGAATCCTGGAATAGCTCCCCCACCCCCATTCTCCATCACCATAACAATTGAATTTGGAACCTCCCCACCTATGAAAAGAAGTGTTTTTCCCAGGATACCCAGGACTACTTTTTTCCTAGATAATAATTGTTCATATTATACAAATCTTCCCAGAGATGGCTGTTTTGGGACAAGAGTATGTATGAGAGAAGACTGAAATGAGCCTTTTAAAGAAGAATTTGCCATAAGAACTAAGAAGATAGGCAAAAGTGGTATAGATGATGACCCAACTTTCAAATTCTTTGTTCAGGAACAAATTATTTTCAACATTTAATTATCTTTCCATCTTTAAGTAAACAAGCCAAAGGTTTTCTATATCTAGTCTTTTTTATTCTTCTGCCTTTTCTGAAAATTACTATTGTATACAGGCAAATTACCTAATATCAATCAACAGAATACATACATATATATGTGCAAATATAGATATTATACATGTCTATATTGTTTATGTGAGTAAATTAATTTGTTCAGTTGTTTCAGTCATGTCTGACTCTTTGTGACCCTATTTAGGGTTTTCTTGGCAGAGATACTGGAGTGGTTTGCTGTTTCCTTCTCCAGTTCATTTTACAGATGAGGAAACTGAGGCAAAGAGTCAAGTGACTTGCCCAGGGTAACACAGCTAGTAAGTGTATGCAGCTGGTTTTGAACCCAGGAAGTTGAATCTTCCTGACTTCGGGCCTGGCACTCTATCTGCTGTGCCACCTAGATGTCTACAAGCTAATTAGAATAAAATAAAATAATGAAATCTATCAACATAAAATAATTCTGATGTCTTTTTACGTCTTTGAAAATTTTAACACGCAATAAACCCTCCCTTTGCTGCAATAACTTATTTTACACAATTTAGCATTTAGTTCCCAAGATTTTGACACACACTCTTTAATTCTTCATCATGAAACCACACATCACACTTGATATTGCGTGTCCTCAGGGGTGGGTGGGTAAATGTTTGCCAACCAGCTGGGGTGGGGAGAGGAAGGGGCACATGGCACACTTCTAAGTTGAATTGGCTTTATTAACATTTTCTCTACCACTTGAGTCTAGACCTCACTGGCCACAAACTGCCAACGAACTCCCCAGTGCTGCCTGAACCAGATGAAAATAGAATTGGGAAATGTTTAACAAAATAAATAAAAATACAATGCAACATAGATGATTTAATTTGTGGTCTGACTCAATATGAGTCCTGAAGGGATCCATTTGTATTTGAGTTTGGCATAGCTGGTCTAGACAATCAATAAAGCAATAAATCAAGCCCTGATCTGTAGCACTTGCTGATTTCCAAGGTGTAAGTTCTCACATTGAAAATTAACAATCAGCTCTCAAAAACCAGCTCCATCACAACCCTAAGAACCTTTTGTGAACAGTCCATTTTCCCAAGTTTAACTTTGACAGGCAGCATGATGCAGTGAAAGGGAGTGTGATGTAGTGGATAGTGTTAAACTTGGGAATCAGAAACACTTGGCTTCACATCTTTCCTCAGACTCTCACTAGCTATGGACAGGTCACTCAATGTCTCTATCCTCATTTGTAAAATTAGGGAGTTGGACTTAATGACCTCTATGGTCCTTTTTGTTATAAATCTGTGATGCTGTGATTAAAGCTCATTGATTTTCAATGGGATTTAAATCAAATGAGTTCCTAAGCCATTGATGCATGTTTATCTACATTTCTTGCGTTGACAAAAAGTGGGGAAACCAGCTTAATCTGGTTTCATTTGGGTCAAGATCAGATGTTTTGAGTCAGCCTACAGTGAGTACAAATACACATGACTGAGCATTGTATCACAAAATTAAACCACAGTAATATTATTGGTAGTTCCAAGTAATTCATCTCTGTCTGTCTCTTGCTATCTCAATCTCTTTGTGTCTATGCCATATTTCTGTTTAGTATTTCATTTAGAAAACTGAACCGTCAGATTTTTTGATAATTATTATTTTTTTCTTTTAGGAAAAAGCCCAACTTGCTTGTTTTGACTATGGAGATATCATATGTAAAGAGGGTGAAATGCCACAAGGAATTTATTTGATTATTTCAGGAATGTCAAGCGTAAGATACATTAATATCAATTATAAAAACTTAATTTAAAATAATGAGAAAAATGGTACTCTGGAAGTTTAAAAGTTTTCATAAAACCTCTTCTTTAAATGATTAAACATTTATGCCCAAGACGTATATCATAATCAGTTAATTAACAAATATTTATTGAATGCTTACTATGAGATAGGCACTATGCTAGGCAAAAAGGAAGCTGTTCCTCTTCTCCAGAAGCTTATATTCTACTAGAGGGACATAACATGTGCCTTTGTAAGTATTTATGAAATAAGTATAAGGTAATTGGTGGAAGAAGGTACTAGCAGCTGAGGGATCAGGAGAGACTTCATGTGCTTGATCTGAGTTATGAAGGAAGCCGAGGCAGAGGTGAGGAGGGAATGAATTCCAAGCATGAGAGCTGGGGCACAGACAAAGATAGCAGACTTTAATTTCTTGAAGAACTAAATGAGGAAAGCATTTGGTTCTTAATAGTCTTACTCTGTGTCACTGATCAAGGAAGACATTTCTAGGTTTAAAAAAACAGACACAGTTTCAGCTTGAAAAAAAAAGTTATGAGTAAGACAAAGGAAAGTCATAAATATGATAGCTTACAAACCACATTTCTACTGTGGCTGTCTACTAGATCTAAATGGTAAAATAACATGTATTGGTTCCCGCTTGCTTTCATGCCAACATCTCCCACAATAAAATAATAGCAGATATTGAATTATTAAATAGGAAACCTTAAATTTAAATACTCTTTGAAATGTTAATGAGTTTGTCTCCTAAACATAAGGAGTAAAAAACAAAAGGTATAGTAATTGACATACAGCCTGATTTATTGTACGAATGGCTAAGTATTGCTAGATGGACATGGAATCTTTAAGGCTACTTGGGTTCCATTTTAGTAAATCAAGTCCTCCAAATGCTGTCATAATGACTTGAATTACTTCTTGAAGTGTCTAATTTGCTTCCAGTGGTAACTTCCATGCTGGAATTATCTAGCTGGTCTTATAATATGACAATATGTGTCAGTGTTGTGATAAAAATCTGCAATGAAGAAAATCTGAGGCACAAAGTTCCAAGCATAATCTATTTGTTAGCAAGGCTAATGGTGGTCAATAATAGAGGTCAACAGCCCTTCAGTGACCAGAGATACACCTTACAATCAGAACAGCTTTTTATAATTTGGTGGTTACATAAGGACCAGTGATACAAACTAAACTAAGACTGTGATTGGTTTATAAGAATGGCAAAGGGTGGATTATACATCACATCAAATGACAAGAGGGGTCTCCAGAGGCCATAGCAACAGGAAAAATACAGTGTTGAGTAGCATTCTATGGAAAGTCCTATACCAGATATCAATCAGTACCAGACAGACCCAGTGCTGGGCAAAACATCTCCTGCCCAGGTTGACTTATCCACCACTCATCCTCCTTATTTCCCTCAAGAGACAGGACCAGCTTGTAGCCCTGAAGATTTGTGTACTTAAACTCTTACTAAGGCCTATACAATTAAATTCAAAACTGATCCATAGATATTAAGTTCAGTGATTAATGAAAACTCCTAACTATTAATTAATCAATAATCAATTTCACATTTGAATTATAAGCATCAAACTCAGGAAGTTTGAAAGTTTTCATAGAACCTCTTAAAATATGATAAAAACTACAAAATACAAATATAAAGCATATAAATAAAAAATATGATTTGGGGGTTGCTTCTTGCACATAAATCAATATTGACAATATACTACAGTTTGATTGTGCCACCTTGCATCTTTCCATTGTCCTTTGAGTCACCCACAATTTCAAGTTTCCAGAAATGGTGGTGTTTCATGATTCACAGCCAATGACATCACTGGGAGAACATTACTCTTAAAAATATGGGTTTAGGGTCTTTGTTTTGGTCAGGAAGCATCTTGAAATTGTTGAAAGTGCTACAAAATTGCCCAAATGCTGCACAGCCTTCAATCTTCCCTTTGTCAATTCAATTTCGTAAGACTAGTAACACTATTTTAAAAAGGAAATGAGGTTAATTTGATATGATTTGTTTCTAATGAATCCATACTGACTCCAGCTGATCACCACTTCCTTTTCTAAGTATTCAAACATCATTCATAGACTTTTGCTAGAAATTGAAGTTACGCTCACCAGCCTATAGTTTGAAAAATGGGGCATTTCTCCCTTACTTGAGGACCAAGACAACATTTACTCTCCTCCCACCCTGTAGTCCCTATAGTATTTTATCCTTCATGATTTTTCAAAGACTTCTGACAGTGGCTCAGCAATTACATTGATACATACATTTAGTACCCCGGGGATTTCAGTTTAGGCCTAATGGCTTGACCTCATTGAAGGTAACTAAGTATTCATTTACCATCTTCTCACATGTTTTGAGTTTCAATTTCCTATTAATTATCTGTTTTTGTTCTATCAAGTATTGGGTAGACAAACCAAATGGATTGTGTTACTCTATTGGTTATCCCAAATATTCTGCAGATGCCAGGGTCTTGTAATATTCAAATATTCAATTTGGTTGATAGAGGAGTCATACCCTGGCATCATGCTCCATCTCTTCCTCACTCCCTCTCCTAACTTGCTTAGTCAGCCAGAGACTGTCACCAGGTATTTACTCAGTTAATTAACTAGCATTGTTTTACCAAGGATTCCACACTCATGGCATGAACATATTAAACAAATGGGTAAAGCACAATGTTTGAAAGGACCAGTTGGTGCTGTTATGGCCTCCAGGAAGACTGTAAGAACTTATGCTCATTATAGCCCAGAGAAGCTGTTTAGTCAGAAGTTACTAATCTATGTAACACTTATTAAGAGACTGCTTAATATCAATGATAAAAATGTAATTTAAAATAATGAGAAAAAAAGGCACAAGAGTTTGAAAATTTTTATAAAACTTCTTTTTTGAATGACTGTAAACATTTATGCCTAGGATGCATATCATAATCAATGGACAAGCATTTATTGAAGGCCTACTATGAAGCAGGCACTATGGGACACAAAGACAAAAAGGAATCAGTTTTTGTTTTCAAGGAGCTTATATTCCATCTGGAGACATGTCCATATATATTAAGTGTACATGGAATAAATATAATTGGTGGGAGAAGACACTAGAAGCTGGAGGGATCAGGAAAGGCTTCATTTTTTAAAAATGATGCTTAATCTGAGTTTTGAAGAAAACAAAAAATCTAGAGGCAGAGGGTAGGAGAAAATGCATTCCAAGCACAGGTGACAGACACATTTCAGTTGGCCAGTGCACCAGGCCTTGAAACCCAACTGATCTGAAGCAGACTGGAGTTAGGGCAACTACATAAGACTTTTCTATGAGAATAACCTAGAGACCACCATGCCAGATTCTAATATCACGAGAGGTGTCCTTTTAGTGCCACATGAGCTTTTCAAAATCACTTGAAAGGTTTATGGCTTCTTCATCATACATGGTCGGTGTCCTTGTTATTCTGCTAGCTTATCTTTGCTTTATTATTTTAGTCTCTCATCGTAGCAATAGCTTTTCAATGCCATATGAAAAGTATCATCACCTAATGGGGATAGTGAGGTGGCCGAGTGGATAGAGTGTTGGGCTTGGAATCAGGAAGACTTGAGTTTGAAGTGTGCCTCAGACATGTATTGGGGTCACTGTGGACGAGTCATTTAATATCTCTCAGCCTCAATTTCTTTAAATAGGGATAATGATAACACTTACGTCACAACAGTGTTGTGAAGATCGCACGAGATAACTAGAAGTTGCAAATCTTAAAACTATATAAATGTTAGCTATTATTATTACTTTTAGTTTTTTAATTTATTTTGAACTCAAATACAAAATAAGAAAAGAAAAAAATTGCCATGTGCACAGCAGAACATAAGAGAGAATTCAATATAAAACAATAGCTTTCCATTTCAAGAAAACTTCTATAATAAATACTGTACATTGTTTTCAAAGCTGTCCAGCTTTTTTTGCTTCCTTGTAGATTTTCTTTTGTTCTCTGCTGTGCAATTTTTACTTTATTTTTCCCCTCCCTCCCCAACCCCCCAAGAATTATGTGTGTGTGTATATATATATATATGTATAAGTATATATATTCACACACATACATATGTATACATAGATATCTATAAATACACACACACACACACACACACACACACACACACATATATATATATATATATATATATATATAAGACTGTACTATGCTTATTTCCATTTATCATCTGTTTCTCTGAAGGTGGATAGCGTCTTTCTTCATAAGTCCAAGTCTTTCCATGTTTTTCTGAATCAACCAGCTGATCATTTCTTATACCACAGCCATATTCCAACCCAATCACATTCTATCTGAGAGATTGTCTATGAAAGTTTTTCACCCCAATTTTTGCATTTCTTCTATTCTTGGCTGCATAGGTTTTATTTGTGCAAGAAAATTTAATTTAGAATAATTGAAATTATCAATTTTACATTTCAACAATGCTCTCACCTTATAATATCATTTAAGGTCTGATACTGCTGAATCTGCTTCCCTTATATCTTTTCGCCCCTGGTTTCTTTGAAGTTCCTGACCTTTTGTTTTTCCAAATGAACTTTGTTGTTATTTTTTCCAACTCAGTAATATAATTTTTTAGTAATATAATTGGGATGGCATTACATAAACAGATTAGTTAGGTAAAATTGTCATTTTAAAATTATATTGGCTTTGCCTACCCATGGACAATAAACATTACTTCAATTATTTAGATCTAACTTTATTTGTATAAAAAGTGTTTTATATTTATATTTGTATAGGTCCTGTATCTGTTTTGGTGGGTATACTCTCAGGTATTTTACACTGTCTAGTTATTTTAAATGGTCTAAAACAATATTGAATCATATGACTGAGTGCAGTTTCCCTATTCTTCTCTTTTGATTAAATCTATTTTAGCTTTGACTTTGTCTGAGATCATGATTACTACCCCTGCTTTTTTTTTAACATAATAAATTCTACTCCTGACCTTTAT